GCCCCCGGGTCGCCGGGGAGGTGCCGCTCCGCTTCGGACCTGGCCACGCTCGTTTTCATCCTGACGATGCCCGGCCCCGCGGCTTGGTTTTCTGTTTTGTTTTCACACACTGCTGTGCCCACTTTCACGCCCTTGGGGCCAAATAAAACTTTCCGCCGGCTGCTTTTTTGGTCTTTTCGAACCTGAAAGTCTCTTCATAGTCCTATATTGAGAAGAGAGACAGAGTTCCCGTACGACAGGATGAGAATTGACAGCAGAACAGCACTTTGCTTTAAAGGCAAGGGCACATTTGTAGAGCTGAAACATGTCCAAAAGGGAAGACGAGTTTTGAAATTTTTTATGTCTGTGTGCGATTTCCGCCCCTTCACCCCAGCCCCTCGATTTAAAACCTCATCTGTATCACCTATAGTTAGGGTTGTGACGCCACTGACATTTGCCTCTAGACATGACTTACTTTTTTTAATGTACCAGTGTCATGTTATCATATACAAATATCTTCTATCGCATCCAGATTTTTCGACCTGTTCCGCGGCGGGCAGTTTTGTGGCCAGTGGACCTAGGGATGTATTTGAGTAAGGAAAGCTGAGCCTACAGAATTTATTTTGGGAATGCACCAGTTCTGCCAACATTTATCAGAAGCCACGTTTTAAAAAGCTGCAACAGAACTGAAGATGTCGTTGGTTTATAAGATAGAAGCCGAAGCTTCTCGTGTTCTAGCACTAAAAAATTAAGGAAGCCGATACAGTGAATAGAAAGCTTTTACTTTATCAGAATAAAAGCTTAAAATCTGTCATTTTATTAACTCAGATCTTTTAGAAATTTCTAAAAGTTAAGATTTAAGTATAAGATCAATTAAGATATCATCCATTCCACTCTTAAGATAATGTTCTCTGGGAAATTTCCTAATGTAAAATGTGTTCACAAAGGAAAAAGATCTTTAAAATACACTATTCTATGGTTTAATAATAAACACACTATTCTTCATCACTAGAGAGGAAGTTATATTGGTAAACTTTTTTTTTCCTCAGACTTCCATCCTTATTGCTAGAAATGTTTTTCCCTTTGCTGTGCAAAATGACCATGTCCTTAAGGATGTTTGCAGGCTCTTGCAACCAAGAATCATCCAGAAACATATCAGGTGTTAACCCAGTGTGTTGTCAATATTTCAACTGTGAGTAAAAACCATATATCCTGATGAAAGAGGAAAGCTTTTCCAGAGTCATTTTCTTCTGGAGATCTTTATCCCTATGATCTCAGAAAATTACTCCAGAAAATCAGATTTTACAATCTAAGGTTCACTTTGTTTAAAAGTTGATTATCCCTAAGGTATAAGTGACATCAGATGACCCCATAAACAAAGCATTATGACATCATCAGAGCCAACAACCTGCCATGACACATACTAACAGGGAAGAAGAAGGTCTACAAGAATCTTGACACTCCTTACAGGAAAGTCAACACCTGGTCCCTTGGGTTTTATGTGTTTAAAAAGGTCTTTGTAGGAGGGAAAAGTCAGTACCAGTCATATCTTTCCTAGGAAATATTAAATAGTACAAAATCACCTCACTGTCTTCTTCGTTCTTTCATTAATATATAATAGAAAGAGCCCAATGTATTCAGGAACTAAAACAGTGACTTTCAGATGGCATGGGGGCATATAATTATCTCCAGGGAGCTTGAAATTTTTATATCTAAAACACTTGATTACACAATGTTTAAAAACTAGGCCCACAGCCCATTTCTTTACAGAGTGGGGCTTACTATAGACAGGCAAAAGGTTAATGTCTGACAATCTCAAAAGTGAGAGAGAAAGTGGAGATTTCATAAACCCTCTAGGAGTGAAATTGGTGCCTTCGCTTTGTAAACAGTTCAGCAATAGTGAATCTCAAGTGTTCCATACTCTTAAAGAATCTTTTTGCTAGCATAATTTGCAATAAAAGGTATTTAAGGGATATATTAAACAAATGCTAATCTTGTTTGGATACTGATTCAAACAAAATGTAAATTCAAAAAAATGTAAAAAAGATTTTTGAGACAACTGGACAAATTTAAACATAAAATAGATATTAGATGATATATAAAGGAATAATTATTTTTGTTAGATTTGATCATGATATGCATTTTTGAATTGACACAGCAATTAGAAATGACCATCAGGTTCAAGGAAGTGATTCTCCTTCGTCTCAGAAAATACCCCACCACCTGCCACCGCTTCCCTGGAAGAAAAAAAAAAAGGACAGATTCAAGCTGTGTATGTGTCTGATGTCTTCCCTTCCAAGGAAAAGGCAGAGCCTATGACAGAGAGGACTAAAAGCAGCTGGATTTTCTGGCAGAAAAGGAAAGGAAATATGGGAAACCAAATAGCCTTGTAACTTGAAGGACTGATGTGTTAAAAAGGCACCATACTAGGAATCAAAAGGACTCAATCTGAATCCTAACTCATCTGCTTCCTAGTTGTGACCTGCAGTGGGTCATTTAAACTTCTCTGGACCTTAGTTTCATCATCTGTAATCCCCATTTTACGAATCCCCATATTCATAAAATGGGGATTAAATTGTCAGCATATAGTTTGTGGTGGAGTTGCTATGGGATTGTGATCCGAAGGAGCTTTATACCTGCACAGCACCACATGGATGAGAGGCAATATCTACTTTTTCTGCCAAATTACTCTCTGTTCTCTCCAGTGAGCAGATAAGATGCTAGCTACAGATAAGAAGTGGGGTATATGGCAGTGACTGCGACTCATATTAAGATCCCCAAATTTCATATCACTGTGAACATAGAAGAGTCTTGGTAGACACTGTTCTTAACTGAGCTTGCCAAAGACAAACTTCAAGGTTGGGATGTTGCCTCTCCTTCACACAGTGTCCTTGCCCACGTGTGGCATCCTCCCAGACCTGCTCTTATTAATGAGTACAGTGATAAGAGCTACCTGGGATTGAATATTTACATGTGCCACATAGGCACTCTGAGAGGCACTTGCATTTCCTGTATTATTCAATCTTTAAAACAGCACTATGAGGTACATAAACCAATCCCCATTTTCCAGGTAAAAAAACAAGCTTAGAAAGGCTAGGTAATTTGCCAGGGTCACCCAGATTATGAACAGCAGAGTCAGAATTCTACCTTGGGAACTCTGAACTCCATGAATCTACAGACCGAATTACTTATTATACAACATTGTCCTCCCGATTCCATTCTCTTAATGACCCAGATCAGTGAGGTTTTAACTAATCAGACTGATTCATTTTAAACTATGAAATGTAATAGGCAAGGTGAGTTTTACATTTCAACGAGAATATCTGAGGATCCCAACTATATCCAATTGGTGAATTTTCAGACAATTTGACAAAAAAAAAAAAAAAAAAATTATGAATGGGTTTTACATTTCAACGAGAATATCTGAGGACCCCAACTATATCTAATTGGTGAATTTTCACACAATTTGACAAAAAAAAAAAAAAAATTATGTGGCATTTTTGACCAAAAAGTGTATATTGAATGACAGGTACTGGGGATATAAAGATGAGTAAGATACAGTTCTCATATTCGCATTGCTTACAATCATGAAAACAGATGAAAGAAAGGATTTTGATAGTATATGGGAAAAGCTACTTTACTGGTTATGATAGGATCATAAGTGAGGATCCCATGGTCTTGCCTAGGAGCTGAAGACGACTTCCTGGAAGAGCCGAAGCCTGAGCAGAAGTGAAAGGGGTAGAAGACAGGCATCTAGGCCTAGTGGGCATGAACCAGGTAATTGATGACTACAGGGAATGACAAACAGTTTGGTATTGCCCAACGCAAACTGATGGAAGGAGGTGGAAGACGAGTGGCAGGCAAGACCTGGTCACAAAACACTTTGTCGGCTGACAAGGAGGTTGGACCTTATCTTCGAAATCATTTGGCAAATGTGAAGTATTTTCAGATGGGAAGTGGTGAGGCCAGATTTGTGTTTTGGAATGACTGCTCTAGTGGCCAAACAGATTTGATCAGGTAAGATCAGAAAACAAAAATCAGAAAGCGGAAGCTATTGTAAGAGTTTGACAGATGGAGGATGGTAGAAATGAAAGTTAGTAGGAATGAAAGTAAAGAGAGAAAAAATAATTCATTTTGGACATGTTTGAGGATTTTAAGCTTATGATAGGACATCTGTCATACCAATCTCAAGTAGAGATTGCAAAAATCTATTTTGAATGAATTCAGTAAAAATCCTGGGAGCAGAGGACTGTTTTCTGTCAGCGTGGTGAGCAAGATGGCGTCTAGCCTCTAGACTCATAGAAATCCTACTCACATCCAGCTCAGTAACTCCAGTAGACAGTACCAGCAGCAGAGATCTGGGAGGGGCTCTGGTTGGCTTAGCTTTAATCAGCTGCATCTCTCAACCAATCAGTGATGAAAGAGGTGAGTTTGTCTCATTGGTTGGGCCTGGGCTGACTCTTGTTGCATAGGTGGGAGTGGGGTCAGCCCCACTCAAATCACATGTAATGAGACCTCTTATGAGAAAGAAGCTGATTATACCAGAATGAAGGGAGATACGAGGAGAGATGCCAGCGAGACAGAAAGGGTAGAAGTCCACTATTACATCTAAAGGGAACATATTCAGTAGGCAATTCTACATCACAGGCCTTAACCTGGAGAAGATAGGGAGTAATTTTCATTTAAGTGACGTTTTGGATTATAACATTGGATGGCCTGAAAATTTTAATGCCTGATAAAAGACTGTTCTTGTGACAGACGGCCTGGAGAAGTTCTGGCACCTTCCTGAGATTTCCTCCAGGGCAAGGAAAGCCCATGGAACAGTTTGAAAACACAGTGGGAGGCAGCCTCACATAGACTTCAGCTCATTCAGCAAAATGATTACACTTGGAAGCATGAGAATAAAGAGATCACCCCAAGAGAGTTTCGGAGAAAACGTGATGCTGAGATCAGAGGCTCAGGGAACACCGACATTTAAAAGGAGAGTGGCCGAGACGCCAAGTCTTGAGGAAGGAGGAATGTATCAGTCATGTAAATTCATCCAAGAGGATTCGTAAAAAACAAATAAACAAATAAACCTGACTGAACTGGCAATGTGGAGGAGATCAGGAATCTGCATCAGATCTTGAATTGTGGAGTGAACTGGTAAGTGGAGATACAGAGACATTGAGAGGCTTAGCTGAGAAGAGAAAGAGGGAGATCAGACTGTACTACAGAGGAAATGCAAAGTCAAGAGTAGGGGAAAGTTTTGTTTGTTTTCAGAAAGAGACTTACAAATTTTCCTAAGCTGAAGGGAACAAATAGAGAGAGAGATGGGAGTTTGAAGAGGGCATGTGTGGGTCATATATATTTAGATGTCGAGGAATGCTCCTGATAGCTTCTTAAATCAGACTATCATAGGCCTGGGGGAAATAGGATATGACGGGGTGTATGAAACTGCAAGATAAACTTGGTATGTCTTCCTAGAGCATGACTTCTACTGTTTGCTAAGTTATTTAAAATAGAATGTTCTTCAGACTCCTTGACATGCAAGTGCACACTTTGGATTACTTAAGTGGAAACTTAGAGAATCACTGAGGTAAATATTAAACTTCATCCTGTTTCTGGCTTCTTTGGCTTCACTGGTTTTGTCAAATGAAATTTGAAAGAACAAAGAGTTTTAAATTATTAGAGAAGCCAACTTTGAAGGGACTCTTCTGGCCAAAGATAAGATGGTTTGAGGAACAAAACAAGTAAGGACTGCAATAAACTGAAGCACATAATTATATACATGGAAATATGTGTGTTATATCTATATATACACACGATCATATTATGTCACAAATTCATAACGATACTAAAAAAACACATTGGTCACTTTTGGAGTTTGCTAGGTCATCAACTCATTTGAGGAAAAGGGGAAATATTCATTTTTTTCTACCCTTCCTATAAAAATGGTATTTCAAAGTAGCCAAGCGGTTGATAAAGGGGAGTTTTATAGGAAATTTTCAGCTATTGCACATGGAAGCTGTGAAGAAAGAATAATAATAATTGTGCAAACCTTAGTGAAATAACGAAGCCCGGCATCAATCATCAATGGGCGCTAAAACGATCAGATGCAAAGTTGAGGAGGAACTTTGTAATGGACGCATCATGCTGACACACCTGAACCAACTGGTCCAGTTTAATATCGGTGAAAGTGCAGCAACCAGATATAATGTGCCTCTGGAAGATGGTACAATAAGAAGTAACATGACATGCTCTTGCCAAAAAAATCAAAGTAAGACTACATCTCAGGATCAGTTTATAGGAAATAAGGGGGAGAGACATACAAAACAGAGCAACCTGTTAAACCGTATCATCAAACGGCTAGTCAGACAGGATTTTCTACAGGACAAATGATGCAGTGTCTTCAATAAATGGTTACCTAAGGGGGAAAAAAGAGAGAGGACACAAATTTCTAGTAACAGAAATAGAAGAATGTATAGACATAAGAAGATAAAGGAGTGTTATGAACAACTCTATGCTAAGATCAAATGGACCAATTTCTTGAAAAACACAATCTGCCAAAACTCTCACATAAGAAGTAATAGATATATAAATAGGCCGATATCTATTACATTGAATCAATAATCAATAACGTTCCAAAATAGAAAATATCAAGCCCCGATCGGTTCGCTGGTGAATTATACCAAGTATTTAAGGAAGAAATGATATCAATTCTGTACAACCTCCAGAAGACAGAAGCAGAGGGATTCATCCCAACTCTGTGTATAAGGCCAACAAAATGCTAAAAACAAAATGAGACTGAGACATTACAAGAAAATTACAGACCAATATCTCTCATGAATATTGATGCACAAATCCTCAACAAAATATTAGCATACCTAGTCTAACGATGTATAAAAAGAGTTACACACCATGATCAAGTGGAAATTTTCCCAAGTATGCAAGGCTATGCGACATTCAAAATCAATTAATGTAATCCATCCTATCAGTAGACTAAAAATGAAAATCACATGGTCATATCAATAGCTACAGAAAAAGCATCTGACAAAAGTCAACACCTGTTCATGATGAAAGCTCTCAGTAAACTAGGAATAGAGGGGCAGTTCCTCCACTTGATAAAAATTATCCTTAAGAAAACCTACAGCTAACATGGATGCCCCTTTCCGCCATTGCTTTCCTGGGAGGGTATGTCCATGTATGAGAGTCCCTGCTCCTTTACGTCTAGGAGATGGTGGCAGCTAATTTAGCGGTTGAGGAGGGTCATGAGGGGTTCAAAATGATCCCTGTTTAATTTTGGGGGAAAAATCAATCAATATTCTAAGCTTTAAATGGCAGATGTGCAACCACCAGCTGCCAACTCAACTGACATTTTAACTCAGCAACTTCCTGGATCGATCTTCAAGTTTGTTTTTACAGTTGTTGGAAAGCTGTCTGTGGCTGAAGAATAAAATACTAGATGTTTCCTAGGATTCTAATTATGCCTTGAAAAGAAACAGGACCTGAAGTTGTCCTCTTTCTTCAAGCTGTCCAGTATCATTAAAAGCAACCATT